AAAAAAAAAAAAATGTTTGATGTTTTTCCATTTTTATATTTTGTCACTGTTCACAACACTCCATACCTCTTCCGCTTATATACCACATCCTTATATACCTATATTAAATTAGTTATTTTTTTCTAACAAAATATTCTCTAGAAATAATTTATGTGACAAAACAACGTTTGTTGGGTCAGCTAGTACATGTTATGACTGACTTGGCGAATATAATGTTTTTTAAATTTGCAGGAGGAAGTTGAGAGTGAGTTATTTTTAAAATGTATAGTTATATTTCTATAGAAAAAAAAATGTTTTTCTTGTGATTTTTAACTGTACACTCTTGAATTAACGTAATTGTTAGACAAACCTTTTTTTTTTCTGAAATGTATTTCCGTTGAAAATAGTAAGTCCTATTACTTAATATCATTTTTATTACTTTAAACGAACTTACCTATATTTAAAATGCAATTATTTGACTCATAACGATAACACTACTTCAGGTAGTAGATGTAATCTTCTTCAATGTCTTTTTACAGGGTTGGCTCTCCAAAAGTTAACTATGATTATAAATTAGCTATTGATTTTATCCAAGAATGGCTACAGTACAAATAAGAAACAACATTAAAGTGAGAAAATCATCATTCGGAGTATTCACTTTTTTTAATAGTATTAATTTTTCATAAGTAACATTTGAATAAATTGTTGTTCCTTTTTCGGACCAATGATGCCATATAGCATCACAATATTCCACATTTTTTTTAAATTTTATTAACTTTCCCAATGATCCCCTAAAGCATAATTTTTTAAAGATCTTTTTCTTGTTTTACGTATGGTCATACTATGTTAATGAATATATGAGTATTGTTTGTGTTAACGGTTATATCAAATTTAAAAAAAAAAATCGTTTTTCAACACATGCAGTCTAAGAATATTTTTTGATTTTTATTGGTAAGTAATATACATATTTCTTTAGTTAAAGTTATTTTTTATTTAATTATTCGTGGCTATAATTAAAATATGATAATTATTGATACTATGCTAATATTAGATTATAAGTTATAGTTATTTGAATGTTTGATTCCATATGGCATCATTGGGACTATCTATAACTTAATTAATTCCACTATAATATTATTTTTTTTAATAGAAAACAAATTTCAAGGTAATTGAACTTGAGGAATACACTGCAGTCGATTAAATTATTATTCCATTTAAAGGTAAAAGTTAAATGAAACAATACAATAAATCAAAGCCTCATAAATGGGATATTAAAATGTTTGCAGTGGCTTCTAGTTCTGGTATCATTCAAGATTTTGAAATATATATGGGAAAAGGAACGATCAAATCTACCTCTAATTTGGGCTTGAGTGGTGATATTGTATTACGTTTGTCAGATATTATACCCAAACATAAAAATTATAAACTGAGTTTTGATAATTGGTTTACTTCATATAATTTGATGTTGAATTTAAAAAACCTAGGCATTTTATCAATTGATACTGTTCGATCAAATAGAATAGCAGGGTGCCAATTTGAAAATAACAAAGATCTCAAAAAGACTGGTAGAGGGACATTTGATACAAGAATTGATACTTCTAATAGTATTATAAGCTGTAAGTGGTACGATAATAAAAGTGTTCACTTATTATCAAATTATATTGGTACAGAACCCACAGACTTAGTGTAATGTTGGTCAGCATCAGATAAAGTACATATTCCTGTAACCAGACCTGCAATGGTAAAAAAGTATAACTCTTTTATGGGATCAATTGATTTACATGATATGCTTGTAGAACTTTACCGTACAGACATAAAATGTAGAAGATAATACTTAAGGATTGTTTTTCACATTATGGAAATGTGTATTGCCAACAGTTGGTTGATCTACAGGCGTCACTGTTAACAATTAAATATTCTAAAATATGATCCTTTAATAACTTTTAAAAATGATATAGCATAAGGGTTACTTTGATCTGGAAAAGATAAATTAAAAAGAATAGAAAAGTTAACTTCTCATACTCAATTATCCAGAAAAAATAATACAAATACACCAGTTTCAGATGTAAGATATGATAGATATGAACACTGGCCTGAATACATAGAAAACAAAAAAAGATATAAAAAGTGTCCGTCCAAACTATATTCCAGAACACAATGTACTATATTTAAAATTGATTATGTTTCAACAGTAATCGCAACTGCTTTAAACATTATCTTGAGAAATAATTTTTTTAACTTTGTTTAGTTATTTTTAAGTGCTTGCTAGTTTTAATTTTGTAAAAGAAATTTTATTTTACTAATGTTCCTCTTCAATAAAAAATTGTGATATTGAGAAAGTTAAATCTTATATAAAAATTGTATTGTTCTTACAAAAAATATGATGTAGATAAAAGTTAAGTTTTATTTATTAATATTATTATTATATTGAAAAGTTATATTTTACTAATGTGTCTTTACAATGAAAAAATATTATTGGAAGTTATGTTTTTTAAAATATGTTTTGTTTAATAAATAAGTTTTACTAAAATTAAGTTCCTCTACAGTGAAAAAAATGTGATAAGTTGACACGGTCGTGTCGCACGAATACAGCAATCTCACCCGTTACAGCCCTTTGCCTTGGTATCACCATTCGTTCGATTATTAATCGGGACGCCCGATAGATTAATCGAACTAGTTTCGGAATCGGCGATGAGCCCCGAAGCGGTCGCGGACGGTGCAACGACCGTCGCGAGCGACGGCATCGTTTGTCTGTTTTTAGCCGTCTTCGTGGCATCTTTACATTTGTTATTACAATCTGTCATTTGACATTTGATTTTCCTTCAATTTAATTATTCTTCTTTTTTTACTATTATTATTTCAAGAATTATAGTGGTGGTTATTATAATTCATATAGTATTCTTAAAATACTGAACAGTTTAAATTATTATTATTAACACTATTAGTTTAAATTTGTTTTGTTGTATTTTTATTATATTTTTATTAATATTAATATAATTAAATTTATATTTAATTATGTATGTGTTGTGCATCGTAACAAAGTACAGAGAAAAAATTATGTTTTTTATAATATGTTATTTTTCGTACATAAGTAATACCATAATAATGAAAAAAAAAAAATTAATTGTAAGTAATAAATTAAAAATAATATACAAAGAACTGAAGAAAAAAGTGGTTATTTATTCATTAAAACTAATAAAATAAAGTATTATTGATGTATAAAACTTTCATTATATATATGTATAAAAAATGCCATATATTCCCAGTGAGGCCACATGGCATCATACCTGAGAAAAGCTGGGTTTTGGTAAAAATGAAAAAAAAAAATTGTTTGTATTATTTAAGTCTTATTAATGATGTACAAAAGAAAAAAATTGAATTTGGAGCGATTTTATGTGTTGGGCTTGAAAGAATTAGAATATAGTTTGGTTTTTGTTAAAGTAAGTTGAAGTTTAACTATACAGACGTTAAAATATGAACAAATTTGGAATTTAAAAACAATATTCATTCGCGTTCCGAACGTCATTCGATACACACGCGTATAATCTCTTCCTATGCTTTATTCACCTAACACGTCAATATAAATATTTATTTTTCATTTTTACATGGTTAAAACGGAAAAAAATAACTCAAAAAGTTACTAATATTCTAAAGAAAATTCTTCTTAAATTACTAGTGTAAATAAAAAAAATAACTAATAATTATAATTAACCAGTAAATTAAAAATAACGTAAAAGTGCCCAAGACCAACGGGACGCCCCGGCTATCAGCCGGCGGCCAAGTATCGACGACCAGTCAACGAGCCTTATCTTCTTCAGATAACGTTAACCGTAATATTATAAGGAACTACAAAAGTCCATTCACTCCCAAAAAAAATAAAAACAATCAAACAACTTATTCCGATTTAAATAATCTTCCAAGCAACTCGCACGTGAATCGTATACAGAGCGTATCAAATGACGTTTTCAATTCTTCCGAAGAAATTAATGAAGATGGATTTGTAACTCCAAAATCAAAAAAACACCTCTAAACGTAATCATTCGTCTTCCGATTCTCCGGACACCAAGAAAATGTTCATTACAGTCAACAGATTTGCCCCACTTACAACACGTAATAGTCAAAATGAACACAATTTTACAGAAAACGAAAATGACGCACATATAAATGACATAAACATTGAAACCTCCGATGAAACACAAAATATCAAACAAAAACTTCCCCCTCCAATTATTGTCAAAGGTATACTAGATTTTGCTGATTTTCGAAGCAAGTTAATCAATTTAATCGGCCCGGAAAATTTCACAATTAAATCATCTACCAACAATTTAAAAATCCAAACTACCAAACCTGAATTTTATCGCGAAACAATTCGTTACTTAAAAGAAAAAAATGCATAATACCATACTTACCAATCACAAGATGACAAAGCATATCGAATAGTTATTCGAAACCTTCACCCAACTACATCAACAGTGGAGATCGGAATCGCTATTGAAGAAATTGGATTTTCGGTACGCCAAGTAACAAATGTTCTTCATAAAATAACGAAAAATCAATCTTCCTATATTTTTTGTCGACCTTGAACCAGCGAAAATTAATACTGACATATTCAGTATAACTTCACTTCTCCATACTAAAGTAAAAATAGAAGAACCATACAAACGAACAGACATAATCCAATGCATGAATTGCCAAGACTATGGCCACTCAAGAAAATATTGCTCCTACACACCAAGGTGTGTCCATTGCGGCGAAGAACATCCATCTACCCACTGTGTCAAAACCAATGACTTGCCGGCCAAATGTACTCTCTGTATGGGTAATCATCCAGCAAATTACAAGGGCTGTCAAGTATACAAAAATCTCCAAAAACTTCGTAAACCTACTTCAAATAAAAATGGTAATTATACAAATAAAAATACTGTAAAAATGTTAATAATGATAATGTTAAAAATACCGATTGTGAAGCCACCCAACAGCCCACTACCAACACGTTCATACCCCAAAGACCAAACTATATATACGCACCGGCTACCTCCCCTAATAACTCATCCCAAATACCAAATAATTCTATAAATGAAAATGTACTCTTTAATTTTCTCAATGAGTTTAAATCACTCATAAACCCACTACTATCTTTACTCACCACAGTTCTTAACAGTTTATTAAGTCAAAATGTCAAATAACTCATTTACTTCTTACTCTTTAGCCATCCTTATGTGGAATGCCAATGGATTAACAAATCATAGAAATGAACTTATATTAACATTAAATGAAAAAAGAATAGACTTAGCCTTAATCTCTGAAACACATTTTACTACAAATACTAAATTTTCAATGCCTGGTTATAATATAATCACCTCAAACCATCCACATAACACCTCCCACGCTGGTGCCGCAATTATTATAAAATCTTCATTACTATATACCACCTTTCCTAATATACAAGAAAACCACCTGCAAGCTGCCATTTTGTCAATTAAATTAAATCACATTCCAATTACTATTGCTGCAACATACTGTCCACCCAAACACAAAATTACGCCACAACAGTACGAAAACTTTTTTAACTATTTAGGTCACTATTTTATAGTCGGTGGTGACCTAAATGCCAAAAACCAATCCTGGGGCTGCCACACGTCTAACCCAAAAGGACGTACTTTACTCCAAATAGTTAAAAATTATACCATATTAGCTCCCCCCGATCCAACTTACTGGCTAACGTCTATAAATAAACGCCCAGATATCTTAGACATATTTGTAGTAAATATCCCTACGAGATTACAAAATGTCATAAATAACTATTTAGAACTATGCTCAGACCATACTTCAGTCCTTCTATCTCTAGATGCTCAACCTCCCCTACGGTCCCGACAAGCTAGCCTTACGGATGGTATTACAGACTGGAATAAATTCCGCGAAATAATTGAACAGAAAATCAACCTAAAAACCCGACTTAAGTGTCAAAACGAACTTGAAAACGCTGTTCAACAGTTTACGGATATAATCCAAACAGCTGCTTCGAGTTCCACTGTTAAAAACCGTGGAAAGCCCAAAACTCTTTCCCAATTCCTACTTATGTCCGTGAACTCATAGCAAAAAAACGACGAGCCAGATCCCTTTGGCAATGCACCCGCCTTCCGTCTGATAAACAATCATTCAACAATCTTGCTTCTTCGCTCAAACGTATTTTAAAACAACTAAGAAATTATAATTTCAGTTCTTGGGTCTCTTCGCTTACATCGCAAAATTGTTCTCTGTGGAGAGCAACTCGTAGTTGTTTGAAACAAAAAACCACAAATTCCCCCATAAAAAGATAAGATAATACTTGGTGCAAAACTGATGCAGAAAAGTGTGAACATTTTCGATCTCATTTGCTTCAAGTCTTCCAACCCCATAACATTGTCAATAATGTATTTGAAGATCATATTGTGAACTCTCTTACTACCCCATTTCCACTTTATCTAGCACCGAAACCTATTTCGCCGGGTGAAATTCATTACTACTTAAAACTATTCCGCCACAAAAAATCTCCCGGTTTGGACTTAATTACGTCAGAAGTAGCTCTGCAGCTACCCAAAAAAGCAATTATACACCTCACGCATATATTAAACGCAATCATAAGACTATCCCATTTTCCTCTTCAATGGAAAACCGCTGTTATAATCCTAATTCTAAAACCAGGTAAACCTCCTGATACTCCGTGTTCATATCGACCGATAAGTCTCCTACCTCTCTTCGGTAAACTTTGTGAAAAGTTAGTATTAAAACGGATTTCTCCTTTTATAAATAACGTATCAGTTATACCACAAACTCAATTTGGTGTTCGTGAACGACACTCAACCATTCACCAAATACACAGACTGACTGACTGAATATCTAATTCCTTAGAAAAAAAAAAAGGTTGCACAGCAGTCCTCCTTGATATAGCCCAGGCATTCGACAAAGTGTGGCATCCTGGTCTGTTGTATAAATTAAAAAAAAATTTACCTCTACCTTACTACCTATTTTACAAATCTTATCTTGAAGACCGTTATTTTGTGACCAAAATTGGATCAGAAATGTCGTCCTTAGCCCGAATATCGGCAGGGGTCCCACAAGGAGCCGTTTCATCTCCTACCCTTTACAACCTGTACTCAGCTGATCAACCGACAACCCCTTACACCTCAGTTGCAGATTTTGCCGATGACAAAATTATTTATTCCACACACAAAGATCCAATAATTTCTGACATGAATCTACAAAACCACCTAGACCTCATGTCTTCTTGGTACGACAAGTGGAAAATAAAAATAAATCACGAAAAATCTACCCATCTAACTTTTACATTAAAACATGGTACTGCACCACCTATACATTTAAACAACCAAAATATTCCAAAATCCTCGAGCTCTCGTTATTTGGGATTATTTCTAGATCAACGATTAACTTGGGCAGACCACATAAAAAAGAAAAAAATCCTCTTAAACTCTAGACGAAAATCGCTACAATTCTTACTCGGTAAACATTCTAAAATTAATATAAAAACAAAATTACTCCTATATAAAACTTTATTAATGCCCATTTGGACATACGGGATCCAATTATAGGGCGCAGCCAAAAAATCAAACACAAAGAAAATTCAAATTTTTCAATCCACAACACTCCGTTTAATCACAAATGCCCCATTTTACGTTTCTAATCACACCCTCCATACAGATTTAAAAATGAATACGATAGAAGAAACTGCCAAAATCGTTTATAAACGTTTCCGCTCCCGACTGTCAAACCACTCCAATCCACTGATCTCTGCTCTAGATTCCGACACCATTCCTGGTAACCCTCTTCGTCGACTGAAGAGAAAATGGTGAAGAGACTTAAATATCAATTAGCTAAATATATAAAGGTAAATTTAAATCCAACCTAATCATGTCATAAAGTGTCGCCATTGGGTGGCTGCTTTTATCATGTTATATCAAGCTATAATACATATTACCGCATGTGTACTTATTGTAATAATTTTTACAGATTGTACGCCTTAAAATATAAAAATATAAAAAAAAAAAAACCAATATTAAAATATTCGTAAGAGTTTTTAATCGCTATTCGATTTATAATACTAGTATCTACTAATGAAAATAATTGATTATTATTTCGAATTATGTGCCTATATCTTATACAACTTATATTAATATTTCAAATTTTATTCGACTTCTATTTTCGACTAATTTAAATCATATTTAAACTGGAGAATGCAGAGTGAATAGTAAATAAAAACCGCGGAAAATCGTGGGTTCTGTATTGTGGTCATTGATAACTCGTTAGCTTTTAGCTTAATGATATCCTGAAGTCGTAGTTTCAATCCATAATATCCACACTTACATTCTATTAGGTTAGTCAATTTGAACTCAATATTATTATTATTATTATTATTATGCTGCAATCCGTTATTGGTTCAAAGAAATCCGCTTAAATCTGGCTTAATAAATCAAAGATGGTTTACCGTGATTGCATTGGGGAAAAAAATTAAAAAAACTGTTTATCGTGAAAATATTTTAATATTGTTTGTTAGTTTGATAACATTTAGTCAAAAAAATCAAAAACTTTCGTTTCAACGGTCAGTCCACTTCCACAACGTGGTTCTTTCAAGACTAGTGGATTTCACTCCACTAATGCGCGAGTACCTTTGCAGATTTTTCTATTTCTCGATAGGATATATAATTAATATAAATCGTTTGTACGATTTTTGCCAGAAGTTAATCGGAATATAGTTTTAATTTTTGTATCAAATAAATGTGAGCAACTGACCCCCACGTTAATACTCATATTGTGGTGAAATTTATCGATTTATTGAACATATAAATCGTAATGATAAGAATAATGGTTATGGTGATTTCATTATAATTTGTGTTTCTTTGCGAGTTTGTTTCTTGAAGGAAATGTTTACCGAGAGTATTTATTTAGTTAATTGTAATTATCTACTCAGTTATTTTGTTATTCTGTAATTAACTATTGATTTATTAATATTAAGTCTATATTGTTAGGTAGGGTTTTAATTAATAGCCTAATAATTTTAGCCTAAATCAGATAAAAGTCGGTTCATAAAAAAACGTTAATAATTTCATGAACTTAATTTTTTTCTCGACATATATACATACATATAATATAATATAACATATATATAATATATATATATATATATATATATATATAACATATAATATATATATAATATAACATATAATATACATATAATATAAACATACATATAATAATAGTTATAATAATAGTTGCAATATCAATAATAGGTAATTTTTGATAACAATTGTGATAATAATAAGCATTATATTGTGTACCAAAATAATATAAAATAATAATAATAATTCAATCTATAAATTCAGTTGATTATAATGAAACATGGTTTGAAAGATTTTAAATTCATTTATATCAACATTTGTGTTGAATTTTATTGGAAAAAGGAATTAATATTGATAAATTATCAATAAATAAAATATAATCGTCAATTTTGTCTATCTGCGTCAAAACTCATTACTTAGCGATATCCTTGACTGGTTTACGGTAGCTATTAAGATATTATTAAACAGTTTTTATTTAGAAATAAAACTTCTAAATATTACAAGAGCTTATTCCTTAAGAGGACTTGAGAGAAATCTTTAATGGTACCGGTATAATAATATCTATATAATATATTGATTTATCGTTATTAATCTAATGCAATGTCACGGGGTAATGTTTGGTTAAACGATGTAATGTCAAACACATCAGGCGTTCCGTAAAATTTTATTTAATTTTTAATTTGATAATTATACATCCATGCGATGATGGTATCGGTTAAAGGTAAAATCGTTCTCCGAATAATTATGAGCTATTACGGATTCGAACGAGAGCTAGAGAGAGTGAGAGAAAAAGTTAGTGAGTGTGATGGAGAAATGAAAAGGATATTATCCATGCCTAAGGGATCAAAAGATATAGAATAAAAGCTATATAGATTTTATACCTCATTTTTAGCATCGAGTAATATCGAATTATCTACATAATAATTACATTTATTTACGGACGTGAACGCATGAAAACGTTATTCATGAACGCTTCAGTAAGTAGGTATCTATAAATAAATTAGTTTTGAGTTTGTCTCTTGTAATTTACTTGAAAATTTACCGTTTACCCTAATTTATAATCCGGACAAACACAATAAAAAAATTATAGGTTTATGTATTCTAGTGATATAATAACGCGTCGCTTGAAAATTCCAAATCAGCACGATTTCGTATAAGTTATTAGTGTGTTTTTAAGGTGCTACGGAAAATGTTCCATTCGTTTTTGCATTTCCGCGGCTTTCTTGGGCCAAATCGTCATCTAAGAAAATATCATTCGCGATACTATACGTAAACATAATATAATTACGTGTGATTTAAATGTTAACTTAAAGCAACTGAAAATAACGTATTAATAATATGATATACGGAAAAGCGTACAATTCGAGCACAAAACTCGGCAAACACGTACACGTGAGTGCAACGTTTCGTGGAGAAGTGAAATTTGAATTTTTCGGTGTTATGTACTAGATATATTATAATGCACATAAAATCGATCGGCAATTCTATTTGTACCATTCAAAAAGTAAATATTCTGAAAATGTATCACAATGCATTTTATTAGATTTGTGTTTAAATTGACGAAGAAAAAAGGAAAAAACTCATTCACTCATTTTGTCTCGTGTATGATTTATATTGTAATGTAGTTTCAGATTTAAAACGTACACGCTCATGCATTTCATTTTTGTAAGTCAGTTTTACGCGAGTACGATAAGAAAATAATAATGATAATAAGTTCTTGTTGTTCGATGTGAAATATATAATACATAGATAAGCAATTATAGACGTTGCATAAACGGAAACGCACTGTTATTAATAACATCGTTTATTATAATATGTACTCTGGTATGAAATAACAGGGCGTAAGTTATGGATTTGTTGAGGAAAAAATGGTCCGTGAATGTATATGTATTTCGTATATATTTAAATTAATTATAACTAGAGGGTGAACCTTTATAATGTTATAATGCTGAAAAGTGAAAAGTATGAAAGAATTTCGGGACAAAAATGATTTTATGACCTGAAACACTCGTACAAAACTCCACATACAAAAAAAGGTGGCCCTGATGGATGTAAAAAAAAGTACTTCTGAAAATAAAAGGATTCAAGTAAAATAAATTTAAATTTAAAGTGTCTGTTTTTAATTGGTACTTCTAAGTATTTGCTGGTCATTATGTCGGTATATATTATAATATTATTGTTACGTTTTGAGTGAGTGACGTACTCGTAATTTATTATTTTTATTATCACTGTCGATGATAACAGTATAATACAAATCGGTATGATGTTATATAACATACAGTAATAGCATGTCACAGTACCGTATCTAGGATTTTCTTAATGTCGGAGGGATATAAATAACCATTATAATTTTGCAGTAAAGGTACACCGTAAAATAGTTTGATTTAAATCAGATTTGCTGAGAAATGCACCATTCATAGGCAAAAAGTTAAACGATACATTTCAAATCTCTGTGTTTTAATTTTACATCATAGTTTAAGATATTCAAATGTATTAAAAATAATGCAGACAACTTATTAACCTTCAATGATGTGGTTAACGATAAATTTTGCAATATTTAAATGAGTAGTGGTAGAGGGTAGATTACTTTTGTTTGAGGTCAAGAGTCACTTATCATTTTGAATTTGTCAAATATGTCTAATGATAATCTGGATAAGATAGTACACGTTCATAGTTTATTGTGAACATAAAATTGATGTTTATTATAGTTATATTACATTGACACTTATTTTATTATTATTATATTATATTGATACTTTGGCAATTAAGGATAAAAGGTATATTTAATATACCTAAATTTATCTAGTTTAATTAATACCTAAGGTGATAATCCCCAAAAATTCCTAAAACATATGCCACTACTTCATACGTATATAATGTTCGATAATATGCGGTGCACGTTCTGCATTCAGTTGAAACGACGATGCGAAGGGTTGATATAATCAATTTAAGAAGTTGACGTTTTCTTAGGTTGATTATCTGTGAACATTTCATCATGGTTAGGGTGACACTGGTAGGAAGGGGAGTTGAGTGAAAAGTTACGGCATAGTTATATATACCAAGGTGTTTGTTTTTAGAAAACGTTTCACAGAAGAAGCCGATGGACACACGGATCATATCGATACGGTAGTATATATTCTACGTAGTATTTAATCTGATACAGTGTTTGATTCAAAGCACGGCGTGCATTTATCATTAATGCCAAAGGTTTTAGTTAAGCAACTTCAGCTTGCTGCGTGCAACCGTCTGTGGATCTTGTAATAAATTCGCAGTGTTTTAAAAATCATGTGTGCCACAGGGACGGCACTCACGGAGGAAAATTTAAAGTCCGCAAGAATAATTATAAATATTTGAAAGGATCTATCTCGTCACCAGTCGTACTTCGAGTTCTGAGTACTTAGTTTTTCCCTTCTTCGACAAACGCTTAAGTCGTTCGACTGATACAATGTAATGTCATTACGAAATTGCATGTCAACGGGCGAAACTAATGATCTCTCAAAATTACGTCATCGTAGGATTTAAGTAGTATTTCAAGTTGAGAGTACTTTGTATTTGTGAAATACGTTTAAAGAATATTCATTTCGATTGTATTATAAGGATAATATTACAATTACACGACGAAAAAATATTTATTTTTTTCTCTTATAATAATTTTCGTACTTTTTTGTGACTATATAATATATATATATATATATATATATATATGTATTTCAAATCTCGTTATTGTATTTTGATTTTGCTATTTCATCACTGCGACGTTAACGTATTTCATGTTTGAACATCGATAGGAAAAGAGAGAAAGTTAGAAGATTTGTGAACTAAGCTCTTTCAAAATTATTAACAGCTTCTCCCCTTCCCTACAGTAAATTTGATTCGTAATGAAAACTAACGAAACATGTGGACAACTCTGATTGTTTTCGATCTCTTGAGGGTTAACCAACTGTAGCATCTGGTACGTTTTAATGTGGGAAATAATTATATTTTTGTTTTATCCTATCGAAGCATAGAAATCATAATTCCAATAAAACGTATTGTACTGCAACACCAAAACTTAATGTAACGGTCGATATCCGTATGTTCACGCAGGGCCTACGGTTCGCGAACCGTCTCGAGGAACGGTCCGGCGTACGTTTTGAGGTCACAAGACGTTGTCACGACCCGTCGCCGGCAATACGTCTCGGCGTCACATCGACACGCTGATACGACGCGCGCCCGTCAACACGTGCATCCGTATCACGGTTCGAAGTATCACTTGGAAGTGCCCGGCGTTTTGGTCGACACCGACGAACACGAGTTTAACGTTCGTTGCATGTGCACAGGACACGGTAACGACACGATGACGACGACGACGACGACGACGAGACACAACGGCACAGGAACATCCGGCGCGTCGTATTGTCGGTTTTAAATAGTGGTCGGAGACGGACAGAGGGACCCGCCGGCGAAAAATAATTATATTACCCATTCCTCCGACTGCGCACGCGCGCGTTGGTACAAATATACGCGTACGCTAGTATGCAAGCGTGTGCGAGCGAGAAGTCGCTATATTAGCGCACGCCGTCGCGGGAACGCGCTCAGTTCACGCCGCGACGCTTTGCCGCCAACACGTCGGGCGCTTCCGGACCAACGCTGCCGGTGGTACCACCGACGACGACGACGGTTTTACCGCGTGTCCGCTCCCGTCGCGCCGCATCATTTCCGCGTTCCACCCTACCGCGACCGCGTCTTCTCGCGTTCGCGCCCCAACTGTTGGACCACCTCGTCGTGCACCGGTTTTTTTCCCGCGCACGAAAGCATTTCCGAAAGCTACATTTCTCCGTCTTTTTCCGGCGTCCCTCTCGTTGTTGACCGCGGTCACCGTTCACGTATCCACGAACCGTACGCAACATAATATCGGGAACACTACTACGGTGAGTTTTTCAAATCAATTTACTAACCGTAGCGTTTAAACGGCCCCATCTCCCTACGGCCGTCGCCCATCATTCCCGCGAGTTCCTTTTTTACTTACGATAAACGCCGGTGCGAACTATTGCTACTGTACGATGTCGCACTTGATCTTGGCCAGTATGCGTCCATGTGATATGAATTTCGTTCGTTCGTTGGTTCTTCTTTTTTTTTCAATTAAAAAAATTCCAGTCAATTTCACGTTATTGTAGACACTACGATTCCAAAGGTTTTTGACCAATTGTTATACATGAGAATATACATATATATATAGAATCCATAAACTATAAGCCATTTACACAACACCAATGATTTATCGATAATAGCTCCCATATTGTTATAATAATGTGACACAAAGACGTTTTTTTTTCAGAACTGTTAATAAATTGAAAAATAAAATATCGTAATAAACATAGAGTTATATACTATGGGATCAGCTTAATCGTTCGGAGATTTCCGATATTTATCGTATTGTTTGTGTTAAACGAATGTGAATGATCGGTTAAAATTGTAAAACTGCACCTAAATCGCTAACAAAGCAATACGAATAAAATTTTGGAATTAATTTAGTTTCAAATTATCTTTTGGATCGCAAACATAAACTTTTTTTTTCAATTATTCAATGGTTTTTTTTTTTGCAGTTTGTAAACTGTTCTTGTCTACTCTGTTTTGTCTACCTAAAATTCCACTCATTTGAAATATTCAATCGGTCGTCAAAACTGTACAAAACTTGTAAATATTATTTTCATCAAAAAACTGGTACATTCAAAACAATAGTGAATATCAATAATAATAAACATAATACCATGATGAGACTAAAATATATTTTTTGTCACGCCTGCACCGAAAGTTTTATTTCGACCGCGATTAAAGCCTTGGAAGGCCACTTATTTGTATTTTTGTGAGTGGTTAAGTGGGAATCCCCCTAGTGTCGGGTGGTTAAGTGGAAATTCCAAAAAGTGACGAGCGGTAAAGTGAAAATCCCCAAAAGTGCTAGGTGCGTATTCCCAGTTCAAACAGAACCTGAAATGTATACCACTGTTCTTACAAAACATGCATTTTTGGTTAAATCTTTTTATTCATATTATAATCTTTTTGCACAGCGCAAAAAGTAATTTTACTGGTTGGACATTAAATATAAATTAAAATAAAGTATAGTATAATAATCTTATATTATAGTAAAATATATAAATAAAGTGGAAATTGTAATAATTGTGAAACAAAATAACATGTTTTTCATGAAATTGTTTTCGTAGAATAGTCGGTTTTCGCAGCCCCTGCATTACCTTTTTTACAAATTTAGGAGCATGACAATAAATAGTATAATTGGCTCAATGAAAATAATTTCAGTCTTGGGCAAAATGCGACTCTAAAGAGGTATTTACAATATGTTGAGATGTAATTATTAATAACATCAAATTAAAGTATGTAGGTACTTTTCCGGTATTGAATAATAAATTTAAAAATTCTGTGTAGATAAAAAATTATATTTTCAAAAAGGATTTATTAATTATTCGTAAACTGTACAGCATATAAAATCGTTAAAGTTATGTCACTTTATATTATATATTATTCGTTCACGGGGCAAAAGATATTTCAATTTTTGCAAGGACATATGATTAGATGTTTCAGTAGTTTTAAAGTAAGAACTATAGAAGTATATTTATTTATTTTTGTCATTACTTAACACGCGTTGTGCACATATGTGAATAATTAAATATTCCAGGTAAACTCGTGCAATATATTTAACACAATTTTACACAGAAATCTATGTATCGACAAGATTAAAAATATTTATACTATCATATAATGATAATAATAATAATAATAATTATAACAATAATCGTTTTCTAGAACAGCGATGGATTTTGGTCTTATTATGGTTTAAGTAAACATTATTACAGCGTCGCAATTTAACTCATAACGTTGTTGTTGGACCATCTTCTGCTTTCGAAATGCAACAATAATTATCAATTATTAATATTATTATTATTGCTGCGGATAGTAATGCTGTACAGTTTATAGTACTTATCCCTTAACAGATAATTTAATACGCGTAGGTATCATTCAGTTTGAAAAGAGAAAAAAAAATTACTAAACGTTAAAGAATAAACGAAATCAATTTGATTTTTATTTCAATAAATATTCGTTTTTGTTCTTACACTTCAATGCAGCGCGATTCCTTTTTTATGTTATACTATTATTGTTATAATTATTTTTATTTTATTAAAACCCGCGTGAGGACATTCGATCGACTGAAATGCGCGCGTTGATCATAAAACGCGTATACATTATATGTATTAAGTTTTGTTTAAATTGCACAGCTTACAACGTTTTCTTAATATAGTCGTTGATATTATGATATAGTTTGATGCATTTATTGTTTTCTATAGTCGCATAAGAACAATATGTGTACGTTATATTATTATTACGATTATAACCTAAATTTATTTGTATGCTTTTATTTGCAAAAGTTAAATATTATAAATCGTCTACTCGACAGTCTCCTCGCACAATTTAAACGTAATTCTAGGCGAGTTAACTCATTTTTTAAACTCGTTGACTTAAATTAACCCAGAGAAATGTATGCTAACATTAAAGCAAAAAGTTACATCACTTTTCTACAAGTTACAATAGTTAAATAGAGGATATAGTTAAATAAAGGATTCCTTTTTTTTCTAAACATTTTTTAACATTTATCATGTTTGTATAGGCTATTTTGATCAATTTAATTGTTATAACTCTAACTATTTTTATTAATAACGATAATTTATGCAAAAAAAAAAAAAATTACCTTTAGATACATATACCTGTATATATTTGATAATAAAAATATTATAATTACAAAAAAAATATTGGAGATATAATATCGTTATCCAAGTCACCACCCAATGTACATAGAATAGTAATCTTCGTTGGGTTTTTATTTACGTTTCATAGATCATGATCGAAACTGTGACGATGAGCGGATGTGTGCATCATTGCGACGTTCTTAAATACCCTACAAATATATAAGATACGTTAGATATATAATCGTAACGCACACCATGGACATAATTTGTATTGCACCGTTCGATTTTTAATGAACCAATGTCGCATCGCAGGGACGGATGGTTCGCGTTCTTAAAATAAATTATAATTATGACGTGTATGGAAAAAATGTCCAAAAAATGTAATTATAAAAAAAATCAATAGATTCTGCAACAAATATGAAAATGTTTTTGGCAATATTGCCGAGCGATAAGAGAAAATAGGATGGATAATTGGTTACGGCGGAAACGGGAACAGCATAAAATATCCCGAAGCGTACGGGCGTCCGGCGATCCGGTCGTGTGCATCTCCCGGAAAATAACAATAATAATAACGCGCAGCTCTTGTTGTACTGGTGCAGCAGTAGAGTTATATACGCGCGTGCCTGACGTATAAATCACTATCGTCCGACCTGAGTTACGATATTTTTTTTTCTTTACCGATTTCTATTTTTTTCCGATCGCCGACACACGATATTGTGTTAAATTTGATTTACGCAACGTAGTACTTTATTTATCCGTCGGCCGTGTTAATCGAGCGCGGTACAATAAGGTCGATTCACAACCATTGGAAAACGCATTAAAACCTTAAATCTGTAAAGGAACGAAGAGATTAGCGTACATTTTATTCACAAGACAATGTGTTTTTTTTTCTCGTTTCGGAATCTGAAACGAAATATAAATCTACTAGCCGTAGCCGTCTCGTTCACATTTTCTGAAATCGAAATATTTACTGAACGGCTGTCGAGTGTATTTTTATTATTTTTACATTATTATTTAGATCTCCGGAATACAAATAGAAATATTAATAAAATAATTACTTCTATCGTCGTGGGGATTTATGAGTTTTTTGTAAAATACAAAAAAAAAAAGATATCATTTTCCGTTCACCTCACGCCGCTGAAATGGAATATTGTCACCGCGCGTTATAGATTCACTCATCCACTTAACCATATTGTATATGAATCAGAGGCGTATTTAAGGGGTGGGCCCACGGGGCCCATGTCCTACCCATTCCCCGTATTTTATACTTTATTTATTATTATAGACCCTCTTATTTTTCAAGCACGGGCACACGGTGAAATACTGGAATATCAATATATCATGATAATATGATATCATCGATTAAACAGATTAGCATTGCTTAAGTAACACCCTGAAATAATTATAAAACCTGAGGAAGTAGTTTATGCATATCCTAATAAACACCTCAGACGTCTTCAGTTATTGTAGTTATGAAAATTATATTTAAATATATGTTTTATTATAAATCTGTGTACCTAATAAAATGTTATGTTTCTATCAAAGAATTGTATTTTGATTATTTGGTTATGAATAACGACAGTTTTTTGAGATGGAAAAGTTATAACTATATATACTTTGAACTTTTTGTTTGTGCTCCCCCTATAAGAAATTTCTAAATACGCCCTTGATACAATTGAACATTCTCGCACGGGCGACGATAGAATATTTCGAAACCATATAAGATTCCGGGAGAATGGATTTTCGCTATTTTCATGGCGGGCGGTGTTTGTGTTTGCGAATAGTGTTCTGTGAAATGCGGTCCCGGTTACGCGATAAATCGGTTAAAAATTCAAAGTGGGCTGCGGTGTTTCAAACTATTAATTTCTAGAATCGTAAAAACGATATATTACCCGAGAGTGATGTAAGGTGCGATTTTTAGTTTACTCGTTACATTACTGCAACTGTGTTCTATGTTGTACGTATAGGTTTTGCTGTGATCCAGTAAATAATAATCCAAGATTATATCACGAAATTAAGTAATTTTAAGCATTATGAATGGAGGCATGTTGATAATAGTTGAAAATGTTTGGTCGATATTAATATTTAAAAATTCATATTATATATATAAAGTATTTTATTTTATTGTTTTCAAAAAAGTCTATCAAATCTTTATACAGCCCGTTATATACGTA